GAATATTAATACTTAGTATGCTGGCAGCAGGCAGAATCCTAATTGCTCTATCCTGGAAAAAGAAACTCCCAGTTAGGTATGAATGGATGAGGACAATATGGTACATCAAGTTAATGCACAATATAAGAGCTATTAAGTATCTGCAATACAAGAATTTCTAGAGGAAAGAAGTCTTTCTAGAAAAACGACAGACATATATAAATGATTGGAATCAAGTTCATAAATTAACTAATGTACAGCAAGCCTTAAAAAGTTTAGCAGAATTTATACACACTTCTTTTTATCTGTCTTCATTGGAATATAGTAATGTTATTGTCCTTCCAAATGTTACAAAGTTTGTATCTCTTTTTGCAAACTAATTCAGAGTTCCATTGCTATATTTGCTGTGCCTGTTGCTGCAGATAGGGTGGCTTCTAAACCAGGGTGCCCATAAAGCTACAATTTACTTATAGCTCTAATTTAGCCTATAATCTGCTCTGTAGTGTTATAAAGTCCTCCCAGAGGCATCAGAGTTTTTGTTTTAATGTTTGGAGTTTGGCACTTAAATTCTCAGTCAGCTATTTCATATTCTCTTGCTTTTGCTCTTTTCCCGCTCCCCTATGTGACGTCTTTTGATTCCGCAATTGGAAAAAGACCCTTGTTTACGTTAAGTTTACCCTTGGGCTTACCCTTATCTGTCTTGTCCATTTCCTGCAAGTGTTGGAACCCCAGCCTGCAAAGGAACCCCAGCCTGCAAAGTTTGGATGATATATTAAAATTTAGCTATAGGTCTTCTGTGTCTACTCTGAAATATGTAAGTTTTGAAATTCATAATTTTAGACAATCTAAGATATAGCTAGAAATGAAGTACTTTCATTTCTTATGTCCACGCTTCACAAGTTTATATTAGTAGGTACTCTGTATGTCACCATAATTGTCTAGGTATTGTTCCTTTCTCTACGTAGCCAAACGGGGAAAGGCACAAGGTCTCTGGCTGGAAGCCAGAATCAGACAGTGCAGGAGCCTTGCTGCAAGGAGTTGTCTGTGATTGGATCAAGCTAGGGAGGAGAGCTGTAAACCATTGAAACCTAGAGCCCAGTTGAAGGTTTATCTATAATGTCACCCTTTGCTGTAGCCAGAGTTGTGTCCTGGATCCCACAGAGAGCTAGAGAGCGCTCTCTTCCTGCAAGAGGCTGTAATAGGAGATGCCTCAAGGTGCTAGGCTCCTCCACTTCATTCCAGGTTTGGCTCCAGTTTGCTGTTTTGTTTGTTCCTGGATAAGACTTTGAGGGTGCTGGGGGTTCGCTTCTGTTTTTTGAATGGGAGCCTGCTGTGTTATAGAAGATGGTGGGTCTTCTCCTGGAGGTTGGGGGGCACAGGGAACCTCTGGTATAATGGACCAATGGCTGCTCTTAAGCAGGCTTCCTCTTTCTCCCAAGTCAAGGTTGGACTGGGACAGGTTGTGAAAGGTATAGGTTCACATTAAGGCAAAACATAACTCCTAAAGACTCCTGCTGTTGCTTGAACTAGCATTTGTTGTTTTAATTATCATTTAGGCACAAATTCTGGTTTTGCTGTAATGGTAAATAAAAAAAAGATGTAGAAAATCATAGTTTAAAAAAACTAGAATATATGTGTATAAAAACCAAACAATAAAACACTTCATCCAAAAAAGAAAACACTTGTAATATATATCAAACAAAAACACTCATAATATTCGTCAAACATATCTGGCACCTTTAAAAACCAACAAAGTTTTATTCAAGGTATAAGCATTCGTGTGCATGCACACTTCTTCAGATACAATGAAATGGAAATTACCAGTCCATACATATAGGCAGAGGGCTAGCAGTAAATTAGTATACAGCATAATGAAGATGTTTAACAGATTCAATGGCCAAACAGGAAGAAAAAGCTTAGTTTATATGGTTACCTTTTGTTTGGGTATAATTTTGGGGGGAACATAGTGAAGGAAATAAATATGTCAAGATTGGAGATTGATAGGCAGATGCTGAGAGTAATTAACTGAGGCCCTGTCATTACGACCAATTCCTTTCCTCTCAAGCATAGAGACGACCTTAGCATCTTCTTTGAAGTGGGGCAATTGGCTGTGTAGGGTTATCTCCCCTGTCCCCAGATAAGAGAAATACATTCCAATCTACCATTCCAAATTCCAAATTTAGTTAGTTTCATTTCATTTTAGGTATATTGCCATGTCAGAGTTGAGGCAGGTAACCCAAAGAAAGCTTGGTAAAGAGCCAATAGAAGCCAGTTTGGGGGTGAGAGTATATTTTATGGGAGATGCCTGGCTGTTGCAGACCACATCTGCCTCCCTCCCTTTCCTGGCAATGTCTCAGTGTGTGAAGATCCTCCCCTTCCTCCCAACCTTAAGTGACATGTAATGGAGTGGCTGTACTGATGCAGCCCTCCCAGGAGGCAGGGTCTGGGATTCAGCAGGGCAGGTCACGGGCAAGGTTGCGGAGAGTAACCAGGGTCCAGTCCAAAAGTCAGGTTCCAGAGAGCAGGTATGCCAAGTCCAGTCTAGTGTCAAGGGATTCAGGCAGCAAGTCCAGTCCAGGGTCAGGGCTGATAGTCAGGTCCACTCCAAGGGTCAAGGCTCCAGTGCCCAGGTAGCAGCAAGGTCAGTGGTTCAGTAGCAATGTGTACTTGTTGCATGCACGGAACTGCTGTTTCTCCCAGATGATTTTATAGCCAAGTCCTAGCAAGCTACACTTGCAGCCAGTTCCTTGTCAGTGATCCTGAAACTACTCATCCATCTCATCAGTTAGCTGATAACAGGCCTTGAGTCTCCTGCTGCTTCTCCTTTCCTGCAACTCAGCTCACCTCTGACAGCATTGGCGCTGCTGGGCTCTGGGTGAGCTAGGTGGCTGGGAGTGGCTTCTGAAGCCTTGTTTACTGCTTCAGAGCTACAAGGTGTTGGCTCGGTTGAGGAAAGGATGAATATAGTCAGTTTTTCTACTCTTACAGTTGCTGTACGATATTGGGCAAAAGGAAGCAGGTCAAATGGAATGTGACTTAACTGGTTGACTTCTCAGAAGGGTGGAACAGAGTTTGTTACAGGTTTCTTACATACTTAGGATATATTAAAGCATAAAGATTCAGATTTCATTAGGGTTACTGTATAACCAGAAACGGACCCAAATGGATAATCAGATTTCTTAGTTTTGGCATGACCCAGATAGCCCAGGCAAGCCTGATCTTGTCAGATCATGGAAGCTAAGGGAGACGTCCTTGAAATACCAGCAGTTGGGAGGACGGGGGCAGGTTTTATTCAGCCACCTCTCTGAATATCCTCCAGGCCCCCAGTAGGGGTCAGTCACCAGAGGTCAGCGTGACTTCCAGGTGCAGACACAACGCGTGGGCACACACATAAAAATACCAAATTCCTTAATTTTTTCTGACTCTGTTGGTTTAGTTACCGTAAAAGAAACATCATCTACATATAAGCATATTTTTGATATTTGATTTCCAAAAGTAAGACACTGTGTGTATTTTTTTTATTATTCTAAATAGCATGTGAAGACTTTCCAGAGACAGCACCGTCCACAACCGCTCTTACTGATGGGTTGTCATTTATGAATGCAGCCCAGCTTTTAAGTTTACCACAAGATGAAATGCCTCTAGTACTCTTGCTAGACACTCCTGTTCCATCCTGTCCAAAGCCTGTTTGAGTATAAATATCAGCATCATTTTGTCTGTAGTATGAGATGCAGTTTGCTTTATAAATCAACAGCCTCTTAATATTAGCTGGCCCACTCCTTTTCCCAATAAAACCCTTTTGATTTTGGTCAATGTAGTTGATAATAATCTTGTTAACTATACACTTATTTTTAAATACATTTTGCATTTGACAGTATCCAAGCCACCCGCATCCTGCTGCTTTCTCAGAGACAGTTTGGGCTTTCCTCTACCTCATTGTAGGAGGAGGTGCTTCAGAAGAACCGGGGCCAAGGCGTGCCTGTTCAGAAACAGTGGCCTACAGCCTCTGAACGTTTAATGATCAGCCTCGACATCGATGGCAGCTTTTTTGTGGCAGGGCACACTCCTCATAAACTTCTAAGTAGTGTCAAGGGGGGCGCCCTAAACTAGATGGTTGAATTATGACTGGGGTGATGCTCGTCACTCTCTCACCTTGGCCTACCTTGTATGGTTGAATAGGCTTACTAGGCATACAGGCTTACATACTATACAGATCTCGAACTATTTTGAGAGAGTAAAACTTGTCATAAAATGTTTTTTAAAGGGGTTGAGGAAAAATGAGTGTAAGAAAATCTGTCCTTAAAAAGCTATGATATGTAGACTTTAATAAACAGCAATACCTCAAAGTCAGTAAAATATATAAAATGCTCCTTGGGCTGGAATAAAACAAAGGACCAAACATGTTTCAACAGCGTATTCATCAGTGTTCCATTATCACAAAATAACCGTACAACATATTCTAATGCAAGGAATCCTTTTTTAAATTTTTTACTTTAAAGTATTGCTGTTTGTTCTTTAAAACTTATGAATCTTTGCTTTTTGAAAATAGATTACTTGCACCCTTTTTTCCTCCACTTTTTTGTGAATGTCTTTTTTCTAGTTTTAGTGGGCTACAGATCTTTTCATTTTTCTTGTGTTTCACTCATTCCAAACGTGAAGCATTTCATATTCATAGGATTTTTTCTGGTTTCCCCCCCATTTTTTTCCTGTAAGAAATGTTGAAGAAAAGTCCTTGCAGGCGAGGGAACCTCCCCTCTCCCAAGCTCTATATGCAGTGTGCTGTTAAATACTCTAGCTCTGTGGCGGTGCCGACTTTAATAATTAATCTGTATGCTTCCAGCCCTCTGTTTGAAGAATCAAGCAGTCCCTCACACCATGCATTGACTACTTCTGTATTAACACATATGAAAGCCCTGCTGAATCTGTGGCGTTTCCTTTGGTGTTCTTTTGCATTTACAGCTAGATTTTGATCCTGGGTTTCTGCATTTTTATGCATAATTTTTTAACTGTCATCTTTTTAGGTACAGTAGTAGTACAGCCAGAGCCAGTGCTTAATGAAGACAAAGATGATTTTAAAGGACCTGAATTTAGAAACAGAAATACTTCTAGAGTGAAACCTGAAATTCCAAAAAAACGTGGAGGTAAATGCAACATACATGGTTATTTTATTTTTAGAAAGTATATATTACTTGTCTATTCCTAGAATGTGATTCTGTTACTCCGTTCATTAGGGACAGAATCATTCATCTGATTAATTTATTTACTGTTCCTTCTGCATTTCAGGGGCAGGACATATTTAGAAAATGCAGAATGGTGCAGACTCAGCGTGTAGGTTGAGATTTTCTTCCTCTGTCTTTTGTTATGTAATCTTTAGTTAGGAAGTCATAGAACCATAGAATCACAGAGTTGAAGGGGCCATACAGGCCATCCAGTCCAACCCCCTGTTCAATGCAGGATCAGCATAGAGCATCCCTGAGAAGTGTTTGTCCAGCCACTGCTTGAAGACTGCCAGGGAGGGGGACCTCCCCACCTCCCCAGGCAGCGGATTCCACTGTTGCACAACTTTTACTGTAAAAAAGCTTTTCTTAATATCCAGCCTGTACCTTTTCACCCTTTATTTAAACCCATTCTTGTGAGTCCTCTCCTCTGCTGCTAACAGGAACAGCCCCCTGTCCTCCTCTAAGAGACAACCCTTCAAATAGAGCAGTCATGTCCCCCCTCACCTCCTCTTCTACAGACTCAACATTCCCAAGTCCCTCAGCCTTTCCTCCTAGGGCTTGGTCTCCAGGCCCCAGATCATCCTCCTCTCTCTCCTCTACACCACTCCATTCTGTCTACATCCTTTTTGAAGGAGGCCTCCCACTGCACACAGTACTCCCGGCGTGTCCTGACCAGTGCAGTGTACACTGGGACTATGACATCTTGCATTGGCTTGTTTTGTTGCTGCATCACACTAGCTGCTCATTTTTAACTTTTAGTCCACCTGTACCCCAAGAACTTGCTCACACACACCGCTATCCAGATGTGTATCCCCCATCCAGTATGCATGTTCCTCTTTTTTGTTACCCAGATGTAGAACTCAGCACTTATCTTTGTTCAATCGCATCTTGTTCGCATCTGCCCACTTTTCCAGTGTGTTCAGATCCCCTTGAATTCTCTTTCTTCTGGTGTGTTCGCTGCTCCTCCCAATTCGGTGTCATCTGCACATTTAATAAGTAGCCTCTCCACACCCCCATCCAGATAATTTATAAAAATATTGAAAAGTACCAAGCTCAGAACCGAGCCCTGTGGCACCCCACTGAACACCTCCCTCCATTCAGATGAAATGCCATTAACAACTACTCTTTGAGTGCTGTTCTCCAACCAGTTCCCTATCCACCTAACCTAGAGTCCAGTCCATAGCCCTTTAGTTCACCCATCAGAACACCATGGGGAACCCTGTCAAAAGCTTTACTGAAATCCAGATAAACAACATCAATAGCATTCCCTTGATCCAGTAAGCTCATCATTTGATCAAAGAAGGAAATGAGGTTGGTCTGGCAGGACCAGTTGGAGTCAAATCCGTGCTGACTTCCCCAGATCACCAAGTTGTCCTTTAGATGCTGGCAAATCAGTCCCTTTAAAATCTGCTCCAGTATCTTCCCTGGGACAGAGGTAGGACTGACTGGCCTGTAGTTTCCTAGGTCATCCCTCCTCCCTTTTTTGAAAATTGGGATAACATCTGCTGTCCTCCAGTCTTGTGGCACGTCTCCTGACCTCCCAAGAGGTCTGGAAGATGATGGACAAAAGGCTCTGCAAGCTCTCCAGGACGTTTTTTAGCACTCTTGGGTGCACACCATCTGACCTCAGGGATTTGTACTCACTCAGTGCAGTTCTCAACTACCTCTCTGTCCATGTCAACCAGCAGTCTGGACGCCATGCATCACTTGGCAGTGGGTTCCAGGCAGGCATTTCTTCAATTAAATTACCATTATGGAATTCACTACCATAAGAAAGATTAGACAAAGTGGGGTATAGGTCTGTCAATAGTTATATGCTATGACAGCTGCAAAGAATGTCAGTTTGTAGAAACAGAACAAAATTTGAGTCCAGCTGCACATTTAATACCAACAAAGGGTATAAGCTTTGATGTGCATGCACACAAAAGCTTATACTCAGAATTAAACTTTGTTAGTCTTTAAGGTGCCACTGTGTTACTTCATACGAACCTCCTGAAAGTATTTAGCAATGTTAATGAGGGAAGGCCATTTCCTTGATGAGATTGTAAACTTCTCAGAGGCATCTGACTTGCTGCTGCTGGAAACAGAATTCTAAACAAGATGAACCGTTTTCTGAGGGCTGTTCTTGCGCAGCAGCATGTTGTGTATACATCTGAGAATGGATGAGTTTTCAGTCCCCCCCCCCCCCCCCGTGTAATAGTACCTGTGCTGTCTTATATAGTACAGCATTCTGTTTAGCACTAGCCAGATGCCTCTAGAAGGCCGACAAGTAAAGGATAGAAACATAACAATTCTCCCTGTTGTTATCTCCCCCCCCCCATGCTGATGTTTAGATGGTTACTGCCTCTGGACGTGGGGGTTCCAGCTAGACTTTGTAACTGATAACCATTGATGGTGCTGTTCTCCGTGAACTTTTATAATCTTCTAAAGCTGGCCAAGCTAGTGACCATCACCATATCCCACTGCAGCAAATTCTGCACACCAGTCACTCTCTGAGTAAAAACATTCTACTTTCTTCCTGTTCTTTTTTTTATTATTATTATTATTTATTAATCAGAAAATAGTTTTGGGGATAAAATAGATAAACAGTGCAATCAAGTAACAATTTCAACACATACAACAACAGATATATATATACTTCTATGATATGTACATAATTTGTAGAGATGGTATTTTTTAGTTTAGACAATAGAGATAACCTTAACTTATGAATAAAAACCAAGTACTAAGTGAACAATTAATTATCTTTGTAAACAGAATTGGTGCTTGTTATAAAGTAATTAAATAGCTTGAAACAATTACTTAAATGATGTGTCAGAATATAGTGTCCTAATTGACTTTTTGCATTAAGGTCTGTAATGGGTGACAATCTTATATCCATTCATGATACTTCTTCCAAGTTTGGGGTATATTCTTCCCTTTCTTCCTGTTCTGACTGTACCGCCCATCAGTTTCGTTAGGTGACTATAAGTTCTAGTATTATGGGAAAGGGAGGATATTCTCTGACCCCCCCCCCACTTTTATTAACTTCTGTTGTGTTGCCATTTAAGCCTTTTAGCTTAAAAAACCCTCTTCATCTTTTCCTCATAGAGAAATTGCTCCGACTCCTTGATTATTTTGCTTCCCCCTTTCTGAAATTTTTTTTTAGGGCTACGGTATTCTTGTCCTAACGTGTCTAGAATGGTACACAATATTCCAATTGTGTTGCATTGTACATGTAGGCAAGAGCATTGTAATACTGGCTGGCTTGTTTTCAACCCCCTCTCAGTGATCCCGAGCATAGTGTTTGCTTTTTTCACTGAGTGCTGTGCACTGAGTCAGCACTTCCATCGAGCTTTCTGCCACAGCCACAAGATCCCTTTCCTGCTAAGCCATCAACAGTTCAGAACCCACCAGGATATATTTATCCAAGTCTGCATCACTCTACCCGACCATCCAGCCACATTTGCTATGTAGTTGGAGAGAGCTTTTTTGAGCTCCTAACAATTCATTTTGTTTCTCACCATCTTGAATAATGTGGGTGTCATCTTGCAAACTTGGCCAGTTTTCTGCTTACCACCAATTCCAGAACGTTTGTGATAAATAGCACTAGTTCCAATAGTGATCCTTGTAGAACTCTACAATTTACTTACTTCCATTGGGAGAACGGTCTATTTATTTTTGTTCTCTGCTTCCTGTCATTTAACTAATTTCTAATCTATGTATGTTTACTGTTTTTAGAAATATTGGTCCTTGTGCTCTCTTTTCACTCACCTTACTAACCTGTATTTGTTTTGCCAGAAACATGTTCTGCTTCTCATTTGCAGGCCCAGCTCTGAAGGGAGAGGCAGGGCACGGGCAAACCCCCCCCCCCCCCCCAGCATGTGAATAATACAGACAACTTACATTGGGTTGAAACTGGCCACAACTTTTATTAGTTACAGCTGTGAGAGCCTTGGCGCAGCATGGGGCAAATGGATCCATTGACTGACCTGCCTGCAGGCTGATTAGCTGGCTGCACCCCCCATATCAGGCCATACCTGATTGGCTAGGCTGGAGGGAAGGAGAAGGGAGGCCGCATGGCCATGGCAGCCTCCCAGGTGTGGCCTGCTATGCTGCGCAAAGCAAGCAGCTGCATCTCCTCCTCTCGCCCCTGCAGGCTCACAAAACTGAACTGCCTAGTAAGTCCAGGTCCATGCTTTCCAGCTTTTGGCAAGGCTTTCACATTTTAAAGGAAGCCATCTTGCCATTTAAGGGCCCTTAAGGCTTCCCTGAATTTGCATCATTTTAGATTTGGGGCTACCGTTCATGAACTGAGCTTCCATTATAGTGGATTTTAATTTCCAAGAATCCTGAAGGGATTTGACCATTCTTTCCTTCCCTTTCGCTTTCCTTTCGACTATACTGTTCTGGGGGGAAAAAATTCTGAAATAATGACGTTCTGTTGGTAGTCCTGTTTGCATAATATTCAAAAAGCCATTGAAGCAGCTTCACTTCTGGTTTATGGGCGTAGTGTTGCATTAGTAATTTATCATAGCAAGGGAAGAATGCAACTTGCAGTATCCTGGTGAAGAAGAATAATTTTCCATGCGCAGGATGCAGCTGTGGTGCAGGGGCACAAGCCCAGGAAACAAATTATGATTTGACTATAGGTAAATTGGTGACTCTTCTTCTCCTCTCATTTTCAACATTCAGCACCTTGATAAGGCTTCATAGTGACACACGCTTGCGTGAATTAAATCTTACAAGCTTTTTTAAAAACTGCAAATTTAGGTAGCAATTCTACTGTCAGCTGGGGAAATGTAACTTCCTGTGTGCTGTTAAATAGATCGTACTGAACCTTGACGCATAAATAGTTAGCCATTTAGGTATTTTATTGTGAAGCACATTCTTATTTGAGAAGCTTAAAATCTTTGTATGTGAGGGGTGGAATATTTTTATTAATCTTTCAGGTTATGAATGATTAACCTTTTTCTCTAGCTTTTATAAAATAGTTCTGTTAACGATGTGAAATGCCATTGTCTTTCTGAATATGTAAACTAAATTCGATAGAGAAAAAGCTTTGTGTAGGAAAAAAATAACGCCCGCTTTTTTATTACAGAGGAAGGGCTGCATGGTATTGTGAGCTGTACAGCTTGCGGGCAGCAAGTGAACCATTTCCAGAAAGATTCAATCTACAGACATCCCGCATTGAGCGTACTTATTTGTAAGGTATGGAGCAATATTAAATATATGGTATCTTACTTACCCTGACAGTTTGGTTTGGAAACACACCTTGCTCCCCCCAAGGACCAGCAGTCACCTGGGGCAGACGACAGGTAGGCCTCTTGTGCCTGAATACATCCCTTATTTTATTTATAATGGGATTAATCCCCCTCTCACCATCCACCCACACAGAGGTTTTTGTAATATCAGGCCTTAATACACTAAAATAACTACTTTCTCTCATAAGCACTTGGGAATACTGGTGGTGGAGGAAAAACATGTACCCTATTCATAAAATTGTCCCTGACCTGGATGATCTGGGCTCATCTGATCTCATCAGAAGCCACACATGGTTGGAGCTGCTTAGTACTTGGATGGGAGATCACTAAGGATGCCCAGGGTTGCTGTGCAAAGGCAGGCAGTGGCAAACCACCTCTGTTCGCCCCTTGCTGTGAAAACCTTGCAGGGTCGCCAGAAGTCAGCTGTGACTTGACAGCACTTTCCATCTTTCCATTCATAAAAGTGTGTGTGGGAGAGAGAGAGTGGAATGCAGTTCTGTGCACAGGACACACGTATGCCTCGTTTTCCCTCTTACCACTTCTTGCCACCCCCTGGCAATGTACAGTTCTTTTCTTTTTGGTGATTGTATGCATTGTGGGGTTTGTAAGTTTGATCAGTCCCAGTCAGGGTTCCCTGTGTACATGGGCAGCCACTCATTAACAGTCTTGCACTGCCCATTGCCCATTGCAAGATTACAGCAGTTACATTCTGCTCAGGATGTGAACTGCTCTGCTCAGTAGGGGAAACAGAATTAGAGGGAACATTGGTCCCAGTCCTCAGGTACACTGCAGCTTTGAGACGAATGGGATATTTCTATGTATTTATTTGGTTTTCAGTGCCATTGTTTACCCCTCAAGGAGAAACACACTTATACCTTGTAGCTTGGTTTATACTAGGAACAGGATAAACAGAAACACAGATCAAGCAATAATAAGTGCCAAATGTAAAAAGGTTTGTTAAAGAAATGTTTCAATGACTATTAAAATGCATTGTGACTGTTTAACTGGACATTTGGTATGCAGACTCACCTTGTTTTGTTCTTTAGCATTACTGTAACTAAGAGTGGTGGCAGCCTGTATGTTCGTTCTCCCCACTCAACAGACCTTAAATGGCCAATTTCCCTTTCTCTAGCCTCCACTACAGGCTAGCACGCAAAGGTTTTCTTGCATTGTTCTCAGTCAAATTTCACTACTTTCAGACCTTCATTTCATTGACTCTAAACTAAACACCAGTGAAAGTGGTTAAATCGTAAACTATCTGATCAACAGGCTTGAAGTGATGTATTTTGAATTCTTCTGTCTCATATAAATATGAGAGACACTCACTGAAAACCTCAGAGGGAATTCACCTCCCCTGGCAACTAACTGTGGAACAGCTCTACTGCTTGGCAGGCTGCCCAGATGCCTACATACTCTGTACCTTTACTTTGCTCACAGAAGTAGTGTTACTTCCTAACTCTTACAGGTTCTTAACATTAACATTACCTTTTTATATAGGACTATCTATGAACACATGTATTTGATAATTTCACACTAAGGATTTTGACTCTTTCTCTACTATGCAGGCACCCCTTCCCCCAAACCTGTTATAAAACTGGTCATTTATAGCATTCATTTTTCTGTTTCTTCATTGCCCTAAAGCTGCTGTGATGAAAGTGAGGGCATGGTTGGACTAGTTTTTGGTCAGTTTCTTAACTTTTTTTTGTAAGTAGAAAGTAACATGGTGTATTTGGGATGATATCTTTTGTTAATCTTTCCCTGGTCCATGGAAAAGAAACCAGTAACACAAAAAAAGGGAAGCCTTCGTGTCTTCTAAGAACATAAGAGAGAAGCCAGTGTTGGATCAGGCCAATGGCCCATCCAGTCCAACACTCTGTCACACAGTGGCCAAAAATACCAGGTGCCTTCAGGAGGTCCAGCAGTGGGGCCAGGACACTAGAAGCCCTCCCACTGTGCCCCCCCCAAGCACCAAGAATACAGTGCATCACCTGCACCAGCCTGAGAGTGTCTATCTATACCTTGTGGCTAATAGCCACTGATGGACTTCTGCTCCATATGCTTATCCAATTCCCTCTTGAAGCTGTCCATGCTTGTAGCTACCACCACCTCCTGTGGCAGTGAATTCCATGTGTTAATCGCTCTTTGGGTGAAGGAGTATTTCCTTTTAACTGTTCTAACCTGACTGCTGAGCAATTTCATTGAGTGCCCACGAGTTCTTGTATTGTGAGAAAGGGAGAAAAGTACTTCTTTCTCAACCTGCTCTATCCCTTGCATAATCTTGCATAATAAACCTTGATCATGTCACTCGTCAGTTGTCGTTTCTCCAAGCTAAAGAGCCCCAAGTGCTTTAAACTTTCCAACCCTTTGATCATTCTAGTTGCCCTTTTCTACACTTTTTCCAATGCTATAATATCTTTTTTGAGGTGTGGTGACCAGAACTGTGCATAGTACTCCAAATGAGGTCGCACCATTGATTTATACAGGGGCATTATGATACTGGCTGATTTGTTTTCAGTTCCCTTTCTAATAATCCCGAGCATAGCATTGGCCTTTTTTATTGTAGTTGCACACTGTCTCGACATTTTCATTGAGTTATCTACTACGACTCCAAGATCTCTTGGTCAGTCTCTGCCAGTTCGGACCCCATCAACTTGTATTTATAGTTAGGATTTTTGGCTCCAATGGGCATCACTTTGCACTTGGCCACACTGAACCCTATTTGCCATGTTGACCCCCACTCGCCCATCCTCAACAGATCCCTTTGGAGTGCCTCACAATCCTCCCTGGTTCTCACCACCCTGAACAACTTTGTATCATCTGCAAATTTAGCCACTTCACTGCTTACTCCCAACTCCAAATCATTAATGAACAAGTTAAAAAGCATCGGACCGAGTACTGATCCCTGCGGTACCCCACTGCTTACCACCCTCCACTGAGAAAATTTCCCATTTATACTCACTCTCTGTTTCCTATTAATTAGCCAGTTTTTGATCCATAAAAGGACTTGTCCTTTTATCCCATGATTTTTGAGCTTACTTAGGAGCCTTTGATGAGGAACTTTATCAAAAGCTTTCTGGAAGTCAAGGTAAACAATATCTATTGGATCCCCCTTGTCCACATGTTTGTTCACCCCCTCATGAGGGGACATGTGAGGAAGAAACTGAAAGTAGAAAGGGTCAAAACTGAATCATTGTTAGTCCCTCGTCAATGTGTAACTGTAAATCGCTCAGAGCCAGCAGCTCTGCAGGATTGAGCGATTAATAAATTGAAAGATTATTATTATTATATTTTAAAGTTAAAAGTGGTTGTGTTGGTCTTTTTGGGCAACTCTCTATTTATTCTGTCTTTCCATGGTTATTCACGAGAGCTTGAGTTCAGGAGCAGTATTTAATATGTTACATTTTGTATAGTCTGGCAATGCAATTCGAAGTTTCTGAAAGAAAAAACTTCTTTTCTTCATAGACTTGCTTCAAATATTATATGAGTGATGACATCAGCCGTGATTCAGATGGAATGGATGAACAGTGTAGGTAGGTATATAAAGAGATTTCTCTCTTTTGTCAAATTTAGTAGGTTAGTAGGAGTAAATTTGGATGTACTTCGACCAGCTTGGTCTTGTTTATAATGTTTATAATGAACCACATAACTAGTTCCCTGCACCCAAGAATATTTTCTCTGTTTCCCAAAGCACAGCCCTGTCCCCAGGTTGCCTGCCAAACTGCTGAGAAACTGAACTGAGGCTCAGAAGCAGTTTGTGATGCTACCTGGGGTTTTGCTGTTGAAAGAAAGAATGAAAGACAATTTTCCAGTAGCAATTTGGATTCTGGTCCAAATTATTAATGTGGTTTCCAGTGAATTTGACATGCATCAGTGATAAAGGTTGAGTGAAATTTTCTGTGGATATGGAATACAATCTTACAGTTTGTGTTTCTGGTAGTAAGAGTAAATTTACCTGATTGCTGAATTGATTTCTAAACTGAGAGTTAACATGTAGGTCCCCAACCTTTTTGAGCCTTGGACACCTTTGGAATTCTGACACAGGGTGGTGGGCACAACCACAAATTGGATGCTGTGGGAGGGGGAGTGCACCCCCCTCGCCAAACACACACAGAGGATGCCCAGTGCTTGGGACTAGAGGAGTAATTTGAAAAAAAATCAAGGGGAAAGGGGAGTGAGAGAGAATAAAAGCCATACTCTGGTGATAGCCGCCGCTGAAACAGTGTTGTTTTAATCTGCACAGCCAATTGGAAGCACTGCTAGGCAGGAGTCCCTCCTGGCCTCACCTGCTTTCCAATAATGCTTGCTGGGCACCTAGAATGGCAGGCACTATGGTGCCCACGAGCGCCAGTTAGGGGACCCTTATAGTAAGGTATTAATATCTGCTCTGTTTACTTCTAGAGGCATAGGAGAAGTCACACTTAATTTGCATTTGGTCTAGCCAGAATTAATGTGCAGCACAGATGCAACAAATCTGAGGGATGGTGTTGGGTTTGTGACTTTCTGTGGGGCAAATGCAGCATGAACATAACCCTAAAGGCATATTTATTTATTTATTTATAAGTTCAATTTATAGCCCTCTCTCCCCGCTTCGCAGGCTCAGGGCGGCTTACAATCGGGCACAAGCCCATATATAAAACATATTTAAAACCATTTAAAATCTCTACAGTATAATTCCCTTGTTAATTAACAACAATAATAATAATAATAAGTGCTCTAGGTATTCTTATGTTGCAGAATAGCACTAAATCCTCTCCCCCCCCTGTAGTAAAACGAATTAACTGGTTTTAAATGTAGATGAAACTAAAAATAGTTTTTTGTGTGTGTTGACACATTTTATAAAAAAATTTCACACTTCAATTTCAGATGGTGTGCTGAAGGTGGAAACTTAATTTGCTGCGACTTTTGCCATAACGCTTTCTGCAAGAAGTGCATATTGCGCAACTTGGGTCGAAAGGAGCTGTCTACCATCATGGATGAGAATAACCAGTGGCACTGCTATATTTGCCATCCGGAACCATTGCTGGACCTGGTTACTGCCTGTGATAGTGTGTTTGAAAATTTAGAACAATTACTGCAGCAAAATAAAAAGAGAATCAGAGTTGAGAATGACAAAAACAAAATGTATGACAATACACTTAAATATTCCTCAAAGAAAAATAGCTGTAATGGAGAAGAAAAGAAATTAGGTCATTCATATTCTGGTGCTCTAACGTATTCCTACAAAGCATTAATGGTGCCAAAAGACTTGCTTAAAAAAACAAAAAAACTGGTTGAAACAACAACAAATATGAACACTAGCTTTGTAAATTTTTTGAAGGAGGCATGTGAAAACTCTGAAATAAACTCAAAAGTACGCTTACGTCAGCTGAAGGCATTTAAATCTGTGTTGAGTGACATCAAAAAGTCTCATTTGGCATTAGAGGAAAGTTTGAATTTGGAGATCCAAGCTCTGGATGCTAAATTTCTGCAAAGAAACTCCAAAGAGAAAGAAACTAACATTAAAGCAGAATATAATGAAGTAAAGAAAACTGAAGAAAAGGAACTCAAAGAGCATAAAGTTACACTGGAGATCAGTGAGCATACGAATCAGAGTGTACCCGTAATCGAACAAACAGTCAGCAGAAAAGCTGGCTGCAAAGATAAAAAGTTGGGGAAAGCTGAAGAGCTTCAGTATGAACCCCATAATGCTGAGGCAACAGATATGGACATTGTGTCTGTTCCCTCATCTGTTCCTGAAGATATTTTTGAATCTTGTATGGAAGCACAGAAAGCAGCAGGTGCAACAGATCAAGGGACAACAAATTCATTTATAAAATCTAACCCTACTACTAAGGACAGTAAGGGGGGGAAGAAGTTGATGCAGTCTACCAAAGTAACTAAAGAGTTGGTTGTAAAACTGACACCAGTTTCCCTTTCCAGTTCTCCTATGAAAGCTGAAGATCCAGATGGAAAGCCAGGAAAAGGTGTTAAGAAAGAAAGTGGAAAAGAAAATTCTAATAGCAGTACTGAATGTCCACCAGAAAGTGAAATAGTTTCTTTGGTAGAAGATCCTGATCTCAGGCGGTCTCCACGTGTGAAGACAACGCCTCTGAGGCGGCCAGCAGACATTAGCACACTGACCTCTAATTCAGAAGAGGACAGCAATGACACTCGCCATGGAAAACACAGAAGAAAACCAACAAAGCCCAAAAGTGAAAAAGATGGACTGAGTTCTCCTGATAGTACTGTACTTTCGGATTCAAAGAAATTAGACAGAGTGGACCAAAGTTCTGATTCTGATGAGGTGCCTGCTGTCCTCCAAGAAGTAGCCATGATGAGCCATAGTTCTTCAGATGTTGACAGCAGTGGTGAAGTACCCAATGATGTCTTAAATGACCTACAGAGGCAACCAGTGAAAGAAGATAATGGAAAGCGAAAAAGAAAAAGTTCCAGTTCTGGGTCAGAATTTGATGCCAAAAGAGGAAAGTCAAGTAAAGTTTCTGCTAAAAAGAAACGTCAGAACTGTTCAGATTCTTCCAATTACGATTCTGAGGTGGTAGAGGGCTTAAATAAAATTGAATCAACAAAGAAAGCTATAAAAAAAGACCCAAAGAGAGACAATTACGAGTCTTCAGAAGAGGAATCAAGTAAAAAAGGGAAAGGGCATTCACAGCAGCAAGAAGGTGGATCATGCAATGAAGTTGATGATGACGAACTGTCCGCTCCAGATGAAGGCCGACTAAGTAATTCTTTAGAAGAGGCATCTTGTAAGGAGACAACTGTTAAGGAAAAGCAAACAAAGGATTTCAAAGACAGCTCCTCTAAAAGCAAACAGGATACCTCATCTGAAAAATTAGGAAGTAACATTTCAGAAGACACAAGCAAATGTTTGGCAGAGGAAGGACTGGATTCATCTTCAGATGATAACGGGCAGTCTCCCAAGCGAGAACAAAGAAATGAATCTTCAGATGATGCTAGAAAGAAGGCTAAAAAAGGCACAAAAGAGAAGAAAAGTGTGACCCTGGGAGAAACCTCTGCAAAAGGGCAAACTGGTTCCTCTTCTGAAGTTGACAAGTCTTCTCCTGATAAAGAGAGCTGCAGTGCTTCAGGAGGTAACAGTAAGAAGCAAAGTGCTGTTGAAGGAAAAACAAGGCGGAACCTGAGAGAGAGAACATCTAAGAAACTTCGGAGCAATTTTGCAGACACTAAGAAAGAATTGGCCATTGATACTTCAGATGATGATAATTTAAATAAAAAAGGAAATGGTGCTAAGGAAAAGAAAAAAGCAAGTTCCAAAAGAAAAAATTCAACAAAAGTGAGCAGTGACTTAGTGTCCTCTTCTGATGAAGAGTTCTGTGAGGAGAAAAAGAAGAAAAAAAGAGGGGCACCCATTAAGGGAAAGAAAAAAAGTAATCCTAATGAGAGAGGAAGAATTGATACTAAAAAAACAAAAGATGAACCCACCAGCAGCAGCAGCACATCATCCTCATCAAATGAGGCTGAAAACGACCACGTAAACTCAGTAGGCGAGGGAAGCAGCGATGAGCAGAAAATTAAGCCAGTGACAGAAAGCTTGTTGGTGGCTACGAAAATAGGATTCTGTCAGTCTTCAGGTGTGCACAAGATTAAGTTTAAACTATGGCTATTTTTTGTTCATGCAGTGCAGTTCTTACTGTTTTATAGTTTTTGTTCGTAATCTAGACAGTATTTATGTCAGCAAAAAGTAGGCCACAGAATCATGGACTGCACTGAAAATATTCATTTTGTAGTGCAATAAGTGTGTTTAGGGTCTTGCAGTTTCAAGAACGCAATAGGAGCAGGGCATGAAAAGCCTGTTGGATCCTGTTTCTTTCTTAAAAGAAGTAAGATTAGTATTCTCACAAAGTACTGCTGTTTTACAGATAATTTCAAGAGGTGTATTTCTCCTTAAATATTTGGGGGCGGGAAGTTCTTGGAATGTCTTTACATTTTGAGTGGTACAAAAGCACATAACATATCATACAAAAGATCAGCATATTATTCTGATCATGGTTGGATTTTTAAAAATTCCCACGAGCATGATTGACACTTGGTAGTTGTGAAACCGAAAAATAGATTCAGGGTAGTACAGTTATAGCATGAGAGAAATCAAGTTAATTCTTTAATCTGAATGCTTAGACTGGAAAAACCTTTATTTTAAGATAGTTTTTGGTAGGTATAATAATTTAAAAGTGTTAAGATTAAAATTTTTAACTCTCAGTTTCGGTCTAACAGGGATCTAAAGGGATGTGGGAGTTGTTGGATTACATCATAGTGAACAATGGTTGTAGATGTTTTGTGTGGAAAGAAATCTAGTGGGCTCCTTGTAGTTCTTACTTGAAACTGTTGATGGCTAGAGCTTCTCTAGCAGCATATCCATATATCATCTGTGGTGGGGCTGTGGCTCTGTGTTAGAGCATCTGTTTTGCATGCTAAAGGTCCCAGGTCGAATTCTGAGCATCTCCGAGTTGAAAGGATTGAGAAGTAGGGGATGTGAAGGATCTTCACCTAAGATCTTAGCCACTTCAGTCCATGTAGAAAATAATGACCTTGATAAACCATTAGTTTGACTTCTACAAAACAGCTTCATGTGTTCACACCAAGTTGTCTTACTTTTGCTAGCCTAGGGTTAGAAAAGAGTCCTGGGAAGTGTGGGTAGGTATGGAGGCCAGGTGGCAAGGTGCTGTTCAGTTGTACCTTACTGAATACCTAATGGGGTGGGCCATGACAGCACAAATGGATGGCAGTGGGCTTGGGTATGTCCTAATTTGTTGCATTGCTAGATGTGATGGTGGGTTCCTTGTTCAGAAAGCCTGGCAAATAGCTCCCTCAAAATTTGAAACATCCACTTGTTAAATCATCATAATGGAAGAAGACTTAGATTTATTGGGTGTAATTGCCCCAAATATTTGAAGATTGATTTATTAATGAGTTTTCACTATAATGCTATTGAGTATGAATCACTTATGTTTTTGCTTATCAAAAATTGGGGATATTTTCTTGGCAATATAAAATTTGTATGTTTGTGTGTATGTATGTATATAAAATTATCTTTCCAAAGAAGAGAAGCAAAAATAGGAAGCCTTAGTGGAACCTGTGAAAAGTTCCTTGTGTACTTCCACATGAACTGTCTACTTGGGGGGGGGGGGGGGGAGGCAGGTAGAAACATTCCAGTGTCAATAAAGCACTGACACTGCCTAGATAATTCCAGAATTCCTGATGGTGCTGTTGACTAAAAAAATGCTTGTACATTACCTTCTTTGAAAGAGCAAGGAGATGGAGGTATAATTCTTGCTCTGTACTCTGGCAGAAAATAGCAACATAGCTTTGTTTTTTAAAAGTTTCTAGCCCTTGGCTTCTCTGCATAGGAAGGGGGTTCTCCAGCAGAGGTTCTAGTAGATGAACATTGGCAAGTATTTTGGTGTTCTGTAGCACTGAATATGACGAGCACCATATAAAAACATGTTGTGATTTTTACCTGATTGAGAGAACCAAGTTTCTGGTGTCTATGGACACCTTTGAAACAGACATAATTTCCATCTGTGCCAAGGAGAAGCCAGGGACAGAGGCCCTTGTGGCCCTGGCCATACTAGGTGCTGCTCTCTTTAATCTTGCCTGCATCGGTAGCTCAGGAAAGCAAGGTCAGGCTTAACGCAGGAGCCTGAGTGTCTTCCCAAAAAACCCCGGCACATTCCTTGGTCTCCAAGGTAGTAGTCAAATCTGTCTCAAAATATCTCTGGAACCATGGTGGCTCTTATGGACAAGAGGAATTATTCTTTCATTATTTATTTACAGTCCTTTCTCACTGAGACTTGAGGCACATTGCACATTGTAACTCAGTGCAGTCGATAGGTTGAACACATAGTCAGCAATGTAATAGGACCAGGATAACAGAAGTTTGAAACAAAGCATAAAGAAGAAGAGAAGAGATTGGATTTATACCCTGCCTTTCACTACCCAAAGGTGTCTCAGAGCGGCTTACAAACTCCTTTCCCTTCCCCTCCCCACAACAGACACCCTGAGAGGTAGGTGGGGCTGAGAGAGCTCTTTCAAGAACTGCCCTTTCAAGGACAGCTCTTGTCAGAACTATGGCTTGCCCAAGGTCATCCAGCAGCTGCAAGTGGAGGAGTGGGGAATCAGACCCGGTTCTCCCAGATTAGAGTCCGCACACTTAACCACTACACCAAACTGGCTCTCCAGTAAAGCATTGGACATATCTTAAACAATGCAGAACATGATATTACATAAGTAGAAAACAGTGTAGTGAGAGCTAGTACAGCTAGTGGGTAATACATACTATACACAGTGGTATATTCTTCAGTCCCATTCCCTTTATAAAAAGCACCTTCCTGAACTATTCTGTTATAATATGGCCCTATTATCTTTAGAGGAATGACCTCTTGAAAAACATGTAATCTGCAGAATGAGAGAAACATGGGAGCCTTCCTGACCTCTTCAGGGGGCTATTCCACAATGTGGGAGCTGCAAGCGCAGAATGCATGTGTTGTTGACAGTGTTCCCTCTAAGCTGAGTTAGTGTGAGCTAGCTCACATTTTTTTAGCCTCCGGCTCACACGTTTTTGTCTTAGCTCTGGAAGGATGGGGCTCCAGAGCAAACTAATCTATGCAGCAGCCAAATCGCTCGCTCACAACTTTAATGCCAGCAGCTCACAAAGTAGAATTTTTGCTCACAAAACTCCAAAGCTTACAGGGAGGTTTGGTGATCTTGCCCGTGATGGCGTATAGAAGGATAAGCTGTTCTGTGGATTTGAAGATCTGAAGCCATGGAGGGCTTTCCGTGTTGTGATAGCCAGTACCTTCAGCTGAACCTGCTGACTGATGGGCAGCTAATAGGCTGACAGGAGAATGGGTGTAATGTACGTGCTCTGTCTGGCTCCTGGTAATAACTGAATGGTTGCATTTTGTACCAAGTCTTGTCTTCAAGTTGACTTCAAGGGCAGACTCATTGCGATAGTTAATTTTGGTATGGATCCAGGTGGTCAGAGTGGCAGTCTAGGTAGGGGGCCACCTTCTGGGCTACATGAAGCTGGAAGAAAGCATCTTTTGCAGGCTGTATTAACTTGTTTCTCCAGCAGTAATGCTGGGTCCACTATAAACCCCAAGGCTTTTAGTCAAGCCAGCACGGGTCAGCTGAACCCCATTGACGGTGGCAATTCAGTATGTTCACTCTTAACCACAGCAGGCAGTGGCTCAAGACTTCTGCTGCATCACCAAGAGATTTGGATAGAGAGATTTAGAGCTGGATGTTATCAGCATATTGATAAACACCCAGTTCCAATACTAAGAGAATTCCAAACGGTAAGACCACAAAGAAGAAAGCAAAAACACTCCCCCCCCCCCCGGTTGTCTGCTGTTGAAAATTTTAAAGTTTTATGTGACTAGAGTCTATTTAGGCTGTCAGTGGTTGAAACATCTGCCCCATCCCTGCAACTTAGACTGAAGTGTGCATGCTGGAATCTGAAGGGGAGAAGCTGAAACACACTCTGCCATAGAGTCATAGATGGGAGTTTTGTGGGAGGGAGGTTCAGGAGTTGGTCTATTGGGGATGGAGACAGTTATAAGTTGTTAAAACAGCAAAGGTCTAAATATTAGTTTACTGAAATATTGTTTACTGTATAATTTTAACAAAACAAAAAAGAAGTGCCAAACTGTTCTTCACATTCATTCATGGATTATGTGTCCAGAAAATTGATTGAAAGACAGGAAAGTAAATCCTTGTTTCAGTAGTCAAGAAAATAAATTCCTAGCCAGCCAGAAAATATAGCAGTGAAATTTATTTGTTTTTTTTAATTGGATTTGTATCCTGCCCTCCCTACATAGCAGGCTCATGATTGTATAATCGACAAGGGACAATCCTCTTTTGGCTAGTAGGTACAATGGAGGTAAAGGAGAAAGTCCTTTCTTGTCAGTAATCCTTTTGCAGAATATGGGCAGGTAACAGTAACGTTACTTTTTAATTTCTTGGCTAAGTAATAATTGGTGTAGTTTTTCCCTTAAGGGCAAGAGTTTTTCAACTTGTACTGAACCTGGGTTTCATCGCAACTCGGTCTTTGACTCTCACATCGCATATGTGTACACGATCTTCCAGATGGCCACCTCCCCCCCCCCATATAAATATAGGAATGATGATCAGAATTTAGAGAGATGCTGTTCTGTTTCACTCCTGTCGTCTCTACAAATTAAATACATTCCAAACTGGTCATACCTGTAGGGCATAGTGAGAGTCTAGAACTTTTCTTAATTTAAACATCTGTGTAGATAAGCATTACTCTGGCCCTTGTTGAGCCAGCTATTTGGTTATTTCTGATCCATGATCAGACAAGTAACCAGACAAACCTTTTCCTCCAGACGCCTGCACTGTAGCCATCCTTTTGCGGTTGTACATTTAAAACACATGCAGAAGACGTTAGATCCTGCTTCTCCTGATCTGAAATAAATTTTCAAGAATTCCGTAGCGTATGCTATGCACCATAGTGTCTAATGACGCTTTGCACCTGATTCCAGTACAGATTTGGATCATGACTTGGGCTCCTGCTCTTTTGAGGGCTGCTCAGAATACTTTCCCTGGTTTGTTC